TAAATCTTAACAAATTCCAGATCCATTCGTTGAAATTTGAAAAATGAATATGAGATAATCAAGATAGCATTTGACTTGATTCTTATGTTTATATGGGCTTAACTTTATAGACCTTCAAAATGATAAAGAACTCAGTATTAGATCATTGGTAAGTTTTTCTTTATAGAAAGAAAAAATAAAAAAAAAACATGAAAATCTTATAAACTAGTTTGATCCGGTTGTTGCAGAAGGAACTAGTCACAAGACCGGTTCAACTAAAAATTAGGTTTTTAAAACATTACCCACCATAAAAGTATATTAGATTAGTAAAATAAATTATTATAATAGGAAACTTTTATACGTATGCTACAAAATTGTTTTCATATAATTCAAAATCATTCATATTAATTATTATTGAAAAAAATCATAATTTCTTTTCAAAAAACATGGGCATCTTCAAAATACAATTTTATAGAGGAGCTTCTTAGTATGAAAATGAAGTGTATGTGGAGAGATTCTCCAAAATAAATGGTTTAAAAATTAAGAAAAAAATCTAAAAAACTGCATAAATATAGAGGGGACCAATTTTGCAATAAATATTGAATTTGACGTTGGGTATTGCAAACTGAAAACTTTGGGCTATTAGGATAAATTTTTTAATGTTCTCATAAATATAAGTTGAGAAAGTAACCTGAGGAATACAAAACCAGTTGTTTCTTGAGAAGATGTTCTAGAATGTGCAGTTACGTAACCAGCTGCTTTACAGTGGATTTGACAATGTTCAAATAAAGTTGTGCTATTACCAAAAATGAAGTCCACACTTCCCTCGATATAACAATCTTTAAAATAATGTTTCCCCATATGCAAATAAAGGGTATCCTGCAAAAACCTTAAATCTTCAGACTCAATTTCAAGATTAATTGCTGTATGAAAATTTGTAAAAAGTTTACCTGAAATCCAAGAAATCTGCAATTGTAGAAAGCACAACGATCAGCTGAAACTCTCACAGCTACAGCTTGGTGGGAACCCTGAATGGAAAAGTTGGTATTCGTAAGAAGAAACAAATTAAGAAAAAATTGATCTTGTATGCAATTGAAGTTATGGAAGAAGAAGAAGAAGAAATAGCACCTCTCGAGCATTGTTTTCGAAGGTGACGTTTTCAGCAATGAAGTCGTCTCCTTCAATAATGGCGCTACCACATCCAAACGTTCCTGTTCCAATCAAGCTTGCTGGCTGTTTCAGATAAACAACAATTGCAAATTCGAAAGTATCAAGTATCAGATTCCATTTGTGAAAACAAGCTGTTTTCGAATAATTAGTAGCAAAAAATATTCGATTCGTTAATTTGTGCAGAATGAAGCCCTAAATTGATGGCATGAAACTGATCAGATGATCAGATATCGATAGAAACGTAAAATGTGGTTAATCGAAGGCTTATCGTTGCCGATTTAAGGAAGAATTCAAACCTTGTGATGCTCAATTTTTGTGGCGCAATTGTACCAGGTGATAACAGTGAGTTCAGGGTTCACTCCGGTGATGGTGATGAGATTTTTCCTCTTTGGTATGTGGATCGGCTGCAAGTAGGTTCCTGGAGAGAGAGTGATATAAGTTCGGGATTTGTTTTCGAGTGGTATGCTGTCGATTGCATCTTGCAGATTCCAGAAGTTGCCGGTTCCATCCTTCGCCACCTTGATTACTTTGGCCATTATCAATCTCCGACTGATCCCTCCGGTGAACTATGCCGTCGATACAAAGTGGTGGAAGGTGTTCTTGAGTGATGAGAAGAAATACTATGCAATCCATGAATTTATAGTAATATCTGTGGTGGTGGAGATTGTGGGCCCTCTAAATGAAAAATCTAGTTCACACCGCCACCTTTGGTCATCTTGTTAAATTCCACCATTAGATTATTTTAGTTAAAAGATTTTATAATCATAATTATTAAAAATATAAGTGATATTCCCTAGCGTATCACATTTGGAAATATGGACGTGTTTAGTAAAAGGGATAATGACTTGAAAGAGTAACGAACTTTCGATTTTGTTCACATTTAGTCACTAAATTTTTTTTCGTTATCTATTTGCCACTGAATTATTGAAACTGTTCACATTTAACCCTTATGACTGGTTGTTACCGGTCATAAGGGTAAAATGTGAACAGTTTCAATAGTTCAGAGGCAAATAGATAAAGAAAAAAAAGTTTAGTGACTAAATGTGAACAAAATCGAAAGTACGTTTCCCTCTAAAAAAAGTTTAATGACTAAATGTGAACAAACTTCCTCTTGTATTATGTTTTAGCAAGTTATTTATTTTTGTTAAATTGTAGCAACATTTGTTGATAAAGAAATCTATGAAATAAAAAAAAAACCCCGAAAAATATATTAAAAAAAATGAAAAACCGAAACCGAAATAAAAAACCAATGGTTTGGTATTTTCCAAAATAAAAAATCACAATTTTCCAATATGATTTTGGTTTTACAAAAATTCAACTTTCGGATTTCCATATCTAAATCTCTCCCCCTTTCTATAATCGAAAAATGATGATAAAACCAAAAAGGGAATGAGAAAGCGCTCGAATCAGAATTTTTCTATCCAAAACTCCCCCTTGTGACATGAGAGATAGAGAGAGAGACATGTAAACACCTCTATATAAGGTGGGTTCACACCACATGTAGAGGTGTGCTTGAGAGATGTAACATTGAGAGTGTTAGTGTGTGTTAATTATGAAGATTTAGATCTAGATCCTTTTTTGTAAACACCTTTCATAATCGAATGCATCTCTTAAACACCCAAATCACCGTGTTCTTTGTGTGTTCTTTAATTCCGCATACCAAACCAATGGTCATAATTCACATCAGTGAGAATGGTTCATTTTTTTGTAAAACCAAAATTAGATTGGAAATTTTGATTTTTTATTTTGGAAAATGCCAAACCATTGGTTTTTTTATTTCGGTTTCGGTTTTTCGTTTTTTTTAAATATATTTTCGGGGTTTTGTTTTTTTATTTCATAGATTTCTTCATCAACAAATGTTGCTATAATTTAACAAAAATAAATAATTGGTAAAACATAATACAATAAGAAGTTTGTTCACATTTAGTCATTGAACTTTTTCAGAAGGAAACAAACTTTCGATTTTGTTCACATTTAGTCACTAAACTTTTTTTCGTTATCTATTTGCCACTAAACTATTGAAACTGTTCATATTTTACCCTTATGACCGGTAACAACCGGTCATAAGGGCTAAAAATGTGAACAGTTTCAATAGTTCAGTGGCAAATGGATAACGAAAAAAAGTTTAGTGACTAAATGTGAACAAAGTCGAAAGTTTGTTACCCTTTCAAGTCATTATCCCTTAGTAAAAATACTGCTGGTAGTTGATAATTGAAAACTTAAACTGTAGTTTTTTATTTGTATAAGAGTTTGGTCTCTTCGACATAAGATACAAGTGATTATAAGTTTTTGAAATATGTAAATTTACATAAAATGTCATATAGATATAAACTAAAATTGAAATATAATAATGATAAATTAATTTTTCTAAAATATAACTATCAACGTTAAAATTATCCAAATTTTAATATCAAGTACACTAGTTAAGTTTCTTAATTTATAAAAACTATTTTTTATCCATATTAGTAAATGATGATTTTTTTACAAATAAAGTAAATAAAAATTTTCAATTTTGTAAGAACATTGACCGAACACATGTTACACGTGTTTCGGTGTTCTAAAAGAAATACTATTATTTTATTAGATTAATTTTTGTTTATAAATTAATATAATAAACACGTGTTTCGGTGTTCTAAAAGAAATACTATTATTTTATTAGATTAATTTTTGTTTATAAATTAATATAATAAACATTTATTTGATTGTTAGATGAAGATTAATAAATTATAAAATCCGTTGATATGGATGTTCTTAAATAAATACATCATAATTGTTAATCTATATTTATATTTAATTGTATAAGATGTATTTTGTTTCAAATAAAGACATCATAATCGTTAAAATATATTTATATTTAATCGTATAAGACAATTACCAAAAGTAATGATATGATTTATTAGTTTAAGGACCAGAGGCTCCAACCAATTGTACTAAGCAGTGTCTCACAGATAAAAATGTCATGATTAATAAAACTAATATATTTTTTTTTTGAAAACAAAATGAGACTTCCAAGGTTAGTGATGGGTTTCGAGCCTATCCAAGATCAATCATTGGGTAGCAGAAACAACAAACAATTATGATCTAAGACTCAAAACAACTAGATCTAATTCAGCTAATCTATGCAACTCATTAGGACACAATAGAATGGAATCATACATTTGCTTTCTTCGTAGGTTTTTTTTACGAGTCAATTGAATGGACTAGAGAACCCAACGTAGAGTCACTCTTCTGAAATTGCACCCAAGAAACAAGACACAAACAGATCTATGCAACCCTCGAACTATAAGCTTCAAACAGAACTGAAATCTCGATTATGTAGCCAACCACGACGTGGTAAACAACCTCCCACAACATGGGAACTGCACTTTGGGATTTCTTAGAGTTTTTGAGGATTCCAAACTTTTTAGACTAAGAGGTATTTTTCACAAGTGTCAAAACCGGATTTGAAGCACTCTATTTATAGGGAGGTGATTTGAAACTTTAGAGATAATTACCAAACTTAATTATAATTATCTATGATGTTCAAATCATTTTGGAATATTCCATATTCCTTTATTTACTATTTACTACTAATTAATTAACAAAATAAGTCCCTTAAATAAATATATTCACTGATATACTTTTATTTTGTTCTTGCATGTAAACCAAAAGGACACTATTATTTATAGTAATATTATCGGGCTTATTATTGAAGGGTTTTGAGCATTCTAACACTCCTATTGTGTACATGCAACCCTATAAACATTGGATCTATGTTTTCTCTATTATACATGCAAATATTCAATATTCCAAGGTTTCATCATAACTAGCATACAATGAAGTACATAGAATACAAAAATCTAGTAGAATGACATACCTTTTGACGAAGCTTGAAGTCTTGAACCTTTAAGAGCCTAATGCCTCAAGTGTTGCACCTCAAATGGTTCACACAACACCAAGAACCCTTGTAATAACTAGAGAATAAGGATACTTGCACCAAATCGGTTTTGCCCTCTTGTGTATACACACTAGTGCCCATTCATGAACTAGGGACCTCTTTATATAGTGTGGAGGATTAGGGTTACATTCATGTAAACCCTAATACCCATGACCTTTCATTTCCATAGGATCCATGGGTTAAACACTCCATGGACTATCCATGAAAGCTTAGCCCAACCTAAATGAACTTGGCCCACCACATATATAAGAGTCCATATTTAATTAGTTCCTTTTTGATCACTAAATTGATTCTAAATTAATTCTTGATCAATACTAATTAAATAATATGATTTCATATTAATATATTAGAACTTATAATATATTAATATAAATCACTTAGTATCCTTTTTCTCATTTTGTCTATCCAATTGTTCCGATGCCATGCAACCCAAAGGGACCATGCCAAATTGGGTCAAGTACATACCAATTATAGTTATGGACTTAGACACTAATCCAACAGTCTCCCACTTGGATAAGTCTAAAACTATTATTGCGTATGACTCCAAAACCCGACTAGCAATCGTAGCTCTTAAAGTCGTTTCCGTACTCTGAACAAATCAATGACGCGTCCATTAGATAAGGGATCATATATTCCTCCATTCTAGATATCA